GCCCTAAAGAGAGAAGAAAAAGGCGCAGAGGTTGGGTTTTTTCCCTGTTGAAGCCATGTCTCATATGGTGTTTCAGAGCGTCGTCGCTCCCAAACCCTTATCCCCACTCAAACCCTCTTTACCCATCCCTCGTCCACTCACGACTCTGCCTTGTAAGCTCCGTCGAGGTTTCATCAGGGCTTCTTCATCTTCACTTGTCGATTCCGTTGGAGGATCAGTTTTAAGCTTCGAGCGCTGCTTACAGCTGCCATCGAGCGGTGACTTGGGCCCATCTTCCTCTGGTTCCTTCTCTGTAGCTGCTTCAGCTGCTCAGATGTGTCCAGTCATGAAAGGTGGGAAGTTTGGCTCGGTAGGAGCTGTTACTTTGGAAAAAGGGAAGCTTGATATGACCCAGAAGATTGTCGAGTCAAGCCCTGAGGTCTCTCTCTAGCTCCCTCCTTTCTTTTCTTTCTGGTTTGCGTTTCTTATTTTTCAGTGTCCGCCTTTTCTTGTTTCCAACTATGTAGCAATCCTAATCCAAGAATTTGGTAAAAGTTCTCTCTAAAGGCTGCGCCTTTTATCTGTCTGGCTACACGAGCATTTCGTTGGCTGTTTTATCCTCTCTGTTCTGATATTTTTATTGCAGGCAGAGAGTTATTTAATGTTCTTAGAGGTTTAGAATAAGTTCTTCTTTCAATCGTCTACTCGTGGGGAACTATTAGGAGCATCTATAGCAGTGTCCGTGAACTACTAGATTATAGTCCTGCTTCTTTCTTTCGATACAAAAGTGACTGGTTTCTGGATCAGTCATTGCTTGTTATAGATAACATCAAGGAGATGAAACATACTGCAGTTGTAAAATCTGTTATTTTAATCAGCGTATGCAAGTGGTTGGATTAGTATTTTACAGAAAGTATTTGGGATTCAAAAAAAAAATCATTGGAGATAGCAGTTGCTGGATGATATAGGCTTTGGAGTGCAATATATTTTCCACTGATCACAAAAGAGTAGCTTTGTGAATTTCTATTCATGTTTACAGCTTGCAACTGGAGGAGGTGGTGGAGACATTGGAAAGAAAGTCAATTTCGGAGGTGGC